AACTGATAATGATAAAAGAAAAGGTTTGTCATTATTTTTTAATCATTATTAATCATCATTTTTAATCATGACCTTATAACTTAACTTTCTACCCCATAGCCCTCCAGTTGTGGTCTCCCCCCCCCCCAATTCAGATCAGTGGGTCATTCAGTAGGGAGTAGATTAGTAGTAGATTCTCATTCATTTCCTGTGGTGGTCACCAAGGATGTACCAAAGTTGATTAAAACCCTCAAACTTCAATAACAGAGGTGATCGTCAATGTTCAAGTGCATAGTGTGGAGGATGTCATGATGCCTTGAGGCAATCAGATGTAAAACAGAATATTTCTGAGTGTTTTAAGTTGTACATTGGTCAGATTTGACCCGAACACGACAGGAAGGCTAAGCTAAGTATGGTTACTTCAGGCTCTAAGAAGCCAAAAACGCAAAATGTGAGACTTGAAATTAGGAGTTCACAAGCCAGTGTGATATGCATCGTGTAAACTTTTACCAAACACCTGCAAGATATTTAGCCTCAATCCTTTTTTCAGCCAGTACTAACAAGTAAATCTATGATTCACCTTTTAGTGTTGTACCATCAGTAATGTCTTTGCTTTGCTAGATGATTACTGTATATTCGAGCTGTGAAGGTGCCTACTTCTCTGCGCAGGTCCTGATTTGATACTATAATCACATTGGGCGGATCTCCGACAGCTGTGGCGGCCCCTCCAATGTTGGTGAAGATTACTTCTGCAATCAGGACATGTCTGGGGTCTAGATTAAGCACCTCACACAACCTGCAAAATCAGACAGACAGAAAAGCCCTTTAGTCATGATTAGATTACAAAGGGTGGGGTAAATAGAGAAATATGAAAAGGATGTTGGTATTGATCCTTCAACCTTTTGTGCAGGAAAGCCACACACAAACCAAGTGGACAGCAGTATGTGTGTGTGTGTGTGTTTGGGGGGGGAGATTTATTCCACCTGAGAATAAAAAAAAAAGGCAGTGTCTATTTTTTCCCCCTGTTCCTGTTCTCTACCTTATGGTGACGGGAGTAAAAAGCATCATAGTGGTCACGTTGTCCAGAAAAGCAGATAAAATGGCAGCAATGAGACAGAGGATGATGATCATGGGCCACACTCTTCCTCTGGCTAACTGGTAAGCCTGCAGAGTGGAGACAGATAATGGAGAGATGAGGTTAGGTTGTTTATTATCGGCACCGCCAAAACAGCTGACTCAGAAAATACATCTGGCACAGCTTCGGACCAGTTCTGACTGTTCTTTGGTGTGTTTAAAAAATCTAAAAATATGTAAATCTTTCCATTATAAGTAGTACAAGATATAATATCATTAAGATTCAAAAAGAACTGCACATGGATTCCCACTTTAAAACAGCACTCTTACATCACCAGGTCAGGATGGCCACCTTTCAACGGTAACGGTGTGATGTGTGAGAGCTGCTGAGCTCTTCTCTGAGAATACTTTTTTTTTTCTGCTTCTTCTCCAAGTCGCACTTAACCTCCTAGGACCTGGCGTCCACATATGTGGACATCACATTTTGGGTTATTTAGACCAAAATACTGAATTTTGCTCTACAAGGGCCTGATATCCACTTACGAGGACATTATACTGCTACTGTTCTATCAAGATTTTAAACGAATATCCTCATATGTGGCTCTTATTTTTCTTAAAAACAAAAATAAGGCAAAAAAAAATCTGGTATTTCTTTGTTTTTACATTCATCGGACCCCAATGTGTCCAAATATCAATGAGAAATTAAAAAAGCATGTAGTGGAAGAGTTCGGGTCTTAGGAGGATAAAATTCACATGCTTGCATGATCTCCCTGTTTTCCAGGACATGATCTCCCTGTTTTCCAGCGCTTTTGTACCTGACGCACAAAAGCGCTCGTCCTCGTTCACCATGTACAGCGCACATTCGGTATAAAAGCGGAGCGCCCTGGAGCTGTTTTCTGATGGGAGACTTTGACCTTCTTTGAAAAGAGAAGACAGATGTGTTATCTTCAATAGTAGAGGAAGCAAATAATTTGAGAATGTGTATCCCTCTGTCATATGGAGGACAGA